TGCCATGTTTTGGTCTGGCCGCCCCTAGCTTTCTTCCAACCTACTCCTATACCACTGAACATCGCACGTCGAGGCAGTCGGTCGTTGGGCATACGTAACACGTGTCCCAGCCATCTCAACTGATGAAGTTTCACTACTTCATCAATTGATTTGCCATCCTTACCTAGTACCCGTTTCCTACCAACTGCATTACTTACTCGATGGTCCCATGATATACGGGCAATGTTTCGAAGACACCTATGATCGAATACTAGTAACCTACGAATATCCTATACTCTTACCGGCCATGTTTCACTGCCATAAAGTAGGACGGAACGAACTGCTGCGCAGTAAACCCGTCCTTTGGTTGATAGACGGATATCTCGCCTGCGCCATAAATGACCCAAGTTGGCAAAAGCTAGTCGAGCCTTCTGTATCCGTGCTGAGATTTCGTCACACGCCAGGCCACAAATACTGACGAGACTTCAAAGATTAGTGAAGCGGTTGACACACTCAACTACTTCACTCCCTATCACTAGTTCGGGTGTCGATGTAACCCAATCCTGAAGCAACATTTTGCATTTCGAGGGAGAGAATCGCATCCCGAACATGCTTGCATTGTTGCTCATGGTAGTCAGAAGACGCTGCATTTTGTCAGCGTCTTCACCAAATAAAGCTATGTCATCAGCATATTCTAAGTCAACAAGTGAACCTCCCAGTACAAGTTCAACCCTTGGAAATTTAGATGAGGAAAGTGTTATCTCTAAAAGTACGTCGACCACAAAGTCGAACAAGAATGGGGAGAGTGGACAGCCCTGATAAACACCACTTGAGGTAATCAATTTTGATGACAGTTCGCCATAAGCTCTCGCTCTACCAGTTGTGTTCGAGTAGAGAGCCTTTATAAGGTTAATGTACTTCTTTTGGTACTCCTTTCAGTGACAAACACTGCCATAGAACCTCACGATCAACAGAGTCGAATGCCGCCTTAAGGTCGAGAAATACTACGATTGTGGGGCGTCTGAATGTGTGTCTGTATTCTAGAACCTGACGTAGTGTGAATATCTGGTCTATACAACCACGTCCAGGTCGAAAACCAGCCTGATTTTCCCTAGTCTGCTCTTCACGAGCTTTAGTTAGGCGTTGAAGTATTATTGAAGCTAATATTTTAGACACTATATTAGTCAAACTGATTCCTCTGTGATTGTCACAAGAGGACTTTTGTCCTTTCTTATAGACTGGCACAATCAGTGATTGAGACCAGTCAGATGGGATTACGTCCAGTTCCCAAATTCTACCTAAGACCTCAGTTAATCTCACTGCTAATACTGGACCACCATCCTTAAAAATCTCAGGAGTAAACCTGTCAGGACCTGCTGCTCTCCCACGCTTCAGATTTCTTATGGCTTTTTCAACTTCGTAAAGAGACGGAGGACCTACATTAACTTGCCATTCAGGTTGACTAGAGATCGTGGGAAACCGAAGTGTAGCTGAAGGCCAGTCGAACTGATCCCTAAAATGTTCTGCCCATCGATCCAATCTCCTGGATTGAGAATGAATAATATGTCCATCTTTCTCTGAGATTGTTTCGCTAACAGTCGGGTTCCTAATACCGGTTTCCCTAACGAGTCTGAACAATTGTCTGTCATTACCTATTGCCGCTGCCTTTTCCATCTCTCTTGCTTTCGCTACCCACCACTGTTCACGATCATTGCGTAGACTTCTTGTCAGCTTGCGCTTAAGCTGACTCCGCTCTTCATTATGTTCAGAGCCAGGTGGAATGAGTTTCCGAGCATCTATCAGTGCGATAGATGCTGCTGAGATCCAGTGGTGCTCCCTAACCTTCTGGTTTACCTTACTAGCAGATATCACTGCTGTTTCCACAGCTTTTCGGATATCATTCCATGCTGCCTCGGGGTGGGCATCACATACATGGCTGCCTAACTGTTTTCCTCGTTGTTCCCCAAATATACTCTTAGCTTGACTATCATTAAGTAGGCCCCTAAAAGGTTTCCTTGCAGCGTCTTTCCTACGTCCAGTAAGACGCAAGCAAATACGCGCTCGCACTAGAGCATGATCTGAAACTAAGCATGTGCTCCAGAATGAGCGACAGTCTTCTATCGAGCCCCTCCATCGGTGGCTGATAGCGATGTGATCTATTTGGGTCCAACGTTGAGACGAATTAAGAGATCGCCATGTTAAAAGATGTTTTTCCTTATGCTTAAAGTTAGTATTTGCAAGGAACAGGCGGTTATCTGAGCATAGCTGCAACAGACGGTCGCCATTATCTGTTCTTTGAGCCACCACACCATAAGATCCACCTAGGTGTCTTTCCCTATCGCTTAGTTTACCTACTTGAGCATAAGTCACCGGCCACTATTACTACATCAGAGTGCCTAGCTTTTCGGAGAAGGTCGGAAAGCTTTCTGTAAAACTCATCTTTAACATCATCTGAGCTGCAGTCAGTGGGAGAATAGGTAGAAACGACGAAGAGGCAACGACGAGTGTTCCTATCTTTCCGGATTCTTACTGTTCCGTTCAGTCGGACAGCGCACAAACAACTGTCTACTGGGATCCACTCTAAGAGAGCTAGTTCTGTCCTAGGACTCAATGCTATACCTACGCCGGCGAGGCCACGGGAAGCAGAATCAGGGCTTCCAGATACACGAAGCGTAAATCGAGTCGGTTCTTTATTTTGGCATGGTGAGGTTAAATGAATGACGCTACTCGGATCTTGTATGCGCGTTTCGGAGACGCAGCACACATCGATGGCGCGAGATTCTAAAGTCCTAGCTAAGGAAGCCTGCTGTTCTATTTGGCACAGTGTTCGTACGTTAAAAGCTCCTACGTGTAGTTTAGAGCGTGGTTTCAGGAGACCAGGAATAACGTTCCACGTACTCGAATCGTTTGCCCTAGCGATGCGAGGTGATAAAGAGACGTGAGGAGGGTTAGTCATGGAGATAAGAGAGGTATTAGGTGTAGGAAGGATTTGAATGTGACTAACTTGGTCTCGTGTGCTGTTACGGGTATGAGGGCTGATATCACTTCCCGGCTACCCACACCGTGGAAGGGTATTTCTTGAGGAACCTGAAAAAAAATTGGATTAGTGTTGATCTTAACGACCTGTGAGTGTGACCGCAGAGCCCAGGGGACAACTGCTTGAGGCCGGTCGCGCACGGCCTTTTTGTGGAAGGTTTATGACGTGTTAGCTCCGTTCTTCAAAGGGCCTTACCGCCGGAGACGGAAATCCGTGAGGTAAGGTGAGGTGTGACATTTTTTGGGTCGACCTTTTCTAACCCCACCCCTCCTTGTGGGAAGGCAGCATCACTGCAGATGCTGATTGTCCACGGGGAACACCTTACTGCTGTCACACCTCTCTACAGTCAGCAGTACGACTTTGCCCTCAGACCTTGAGTTGCTGCTTTTAGTCTTACCGTTCTCCAATCGAGTTGCCTGGCATGGTAGAACCTACAGGAACATATGTTCCAGCCAATACAGCTCGGTTGGGTCATCACGATAGCCAAGCCCGACCACCGCGTCAGGGTAGCAGCTTCGGTCGGGAATTGGTGTTGATCTACACCTTGTGTGAGGGCCAATGATTCTCTCCGGTTGCTCAAATCGCTTTCAGTGATAGTTTTAACCAGCAGCCTACTAGCTGAAAGGTAAGTGCTTTGTTAGTAAATGACAAATCAGAATTATATGCGATGGTGTAGACTTTTTCTCAGAATTATGAGTATGTAGCAACATGATACACGACTACACAATAACTTATGTTATAGATAAGACAATCTGTAGTTTTGAATGATACATCCACACCAAATAAAATCTACCGAAGTGTGAAAATTCATATTACTGTGGTTAAAATCAAAACAACATAAAAATAACTCGAGTCAATGATGCTAAGTAAAACTAAAAGTTAAACGCCCTACTTAAAAAAATGCTGATTAAGTGGGATATACTCTCAGGATATTTTATCAACAGGCTTTAACAGAAGATACATAGAAATCACTTTTAAGTATTCGTGTTGCGGTCATTTTGGTTCACAATATGAAAACAGTTCGACAAAACTATTTATTGAAGCCATATTTCAACTGAGATCTTTTATCGAAATAAATAGTCACGTTGAAGCATATGGAATACTGAAACTCGTTACTTTAAAATTAAAACAAAAGTGCAGCAATCGTTCAGTTGTCACAGGAACCATATAGTATGACCTGAACTAGTCAATTTTTAGCGCACAACAAAACTTGATGTTGTTTTTATGTGTTGTGTGATTCTGTATAGTTACTTTACCGTGTTATCATAAGATGTTGTGACGATGACAAACCAAGAAAAGGACTAATTCTCAGATCCACAACTTTCAACCACCTAATGCAGACAGTACTTTTGTTACCGTTCTCGTCAACGATTAAAGTTTATTGCCTGTAGACTTCGTGAAGTTTAAAGCCATTGTCCAAAAAGGGTCCAGTTACTATAACATAGTATCAGACTTCAGTGTGTTAATGATTCAGAGTTAAACGAGCGGTATATTAGTCCCTAAGGATGTTTCTGTGGCTGAAGGAAGAGTTAACAGTTGTGAGGGTGTTATATCTTTTCATTACCTTGCACATGACATCCGGCTAGTCGGGATCCCACAGCAACCGAAAATACACTCAGAAATCGAGATGACCCACAATTAAACTATATTCCACAGTCGTTATTAGAAACGTCAATGATCGGTACACAACAATATAGACGGCGGCATCAGAAGTGGTGAGTGCACTTTCTTGTATTAAGTATTTAAGCTATACAAAATATAACGTTAGGAAATACCTAACCAACTAGCTACAACCATGATAATAGGAGCGACATACTGTTTATATTCCACTTACTGGTAGGTGATGGGTAGAAAGCGTACAATAAAGTCAAGAGACAGTTACACAGTATATTTTATCAAGTTCAGTTCCCATCAAAATTTTGTACAAATAACTATTTGAACACATAATGCCAGATATTTAAGACATGAATACACAAAAGCGTACCTGAAAGATGTATGACGGTTGAGGTTTGGAATTTCGAATTCTTTTTTCCAGCAGCTCTTTTGTTTTCTTATTTATATCTACCCTCTTACCATGATTCAAACTTTCAGTACTTGACGAAGAACTAATGCCAATTTCAGTTGAACCAGTCCAATTGGCCAAAGTCTCACGAGGAACAATTGAGAAAGAGGCATCCAAAACAACATCAATTGCTGCTGACTCATATTTGATAGCTCCTGGTCTGAGTACAGATCGATTATGAGAAAGTCGAGAACCAAGTTTGCTAAAAACACTATCCCTAACTTTTTCGATCGCACGCACGATAACAGCCTCAGTCTAAAAATATGACAAGAAAACACTCAACTAACCTTCATCTCTCCAAACTTGGTGACACCACACTCGGTGGGAAAAATATTTTCGCAAAACAAATCTGTGAGATTTAATTGACCTCCAATACATTCACGAGTAAGTTTTGCTTCATAAGACGTGCATTCTACATCTTGACGAGCTAATCTTTCGTAGCTAGGTTCCGAATCAATGTAATTATCTTGAGGAAAAGAGTGATCCAGGAATGCGTGGAAAACAGTCAAGTGCGACATCAAGTTGTGGAAATTTTATTTAATGCAGCCAGTTATGGTGGATCACATGCAAGAATCTAGTAGCTATTAACAGTATAAATCAACGTTAGTTTTGCACTGGCTTTAGAACGTAAATACATTCAAACAATTTCACGATAGCACTTTTTGTAGGAACAAGAGCAGGTTTGTAATTTGAAAAAAAAACTGCTACTATTAATCAAACACTTGAATATCAAGCATAATGGATGGTTTTTCTAGAAATTAAGGGTTTAAAGGCAGTAAAGTGTTAGAGTCGAATACTTTCACGGCCTGTACTGACAAAACAGGTCGTCTCATGTTATACTAAAGTCGTTAGTCACAATAACGAAACGTTTGAAACAACTTTAGGGTCAAAAGTGTAACTCGATATACACGTATTGACAGGAGCATGACCAATAACATACTAATAAAATACGAATACCAAAGGGTCAATTAGTCGTATCACATGCACTTAAATATGAAAGAAAATTATGAAAGTAGCGACCGTTGTTCGATGACTTAATGATATTAAGCTCTGGTACATCTGTTGTCATTCTCGACAGACTATTTCAGAACATCTTGCAGAGTAGAAAAAACATGTACATGTCAGACCCAACACCAAGTGACCGGAATAATACCATAGTAAGCACGATATTTGGAATTAAAATGAAAACCCGTACTTATATTTTGACCTATCCACCTGACTGGGATATTATCGCAACACTAGGAACACTTTATAGACAAGTTGAACATTTGTTATTTACTTGAACACATAAATATGGGTACAAAGAGGCGACGAATGCATAAGCGCCACACACGTCACTTGATTTGTGTGAGGGCCACGATACTGCCCGGATGCCCAAACTGAAGCAGGTGGTATTCCTAAGGCGCCACACTCAGAGCGTTCGACCTAAAGGTCTGATCCACAAGGCAGTGGAGCAGATGCAGTCTTATAGCAGCCGGTGACCAACGATTGGTTCATACACCATTTGTCCCTTCAGGATACTGGAGCCCATATGTACTATCGCTTTGGAGTCTGGGTCTTCCACTCCCCTAGGTGGACTCTCAGTGTCCACCAACCCGGTTAAAGCACCGGACATTCGCTTTTCGTCCTCTCAGTTTTGTAAACAACACCCCCGACACGGGAAGGCAGTGAGTAGGACTTCCCTGGCAGTGGCTGTATACGCGTGGCTATGTGAGAGGATTTCGAGAGAGAGAGAGAGCTAATTCTCCCACCCTCGGCCGTACCAGGGCATTTGAAGACTTTCTTTTAAGGTGAGTACACGGGAAGGACCACACAATCTACTGATAAGAGTAGCGGTGCTTGCAATGGCAGTTCTTACATGATAAGCTTACTTATTAAAAGAAGACCAGGTCGCACGACAAAATACAAGAATACCTGTTAAAATAAGACTCACAGGCTCTAAACAGTGGTTTGATAAAGTGCTTCGTAAATGACAGAGGGACTTCAGTCTATGCACGAACTTCAGGTGGTGCTTAAATGACCTTAAGAATGTCCAACTACTTGCTGGAACTACACAAACGTTGTAGATTTGTGTGAAGAATCAGGACAAGGATTGACAATTGAATGTCAGGGTTAGGAATTAGAGTTGGGGCTTTCACTATGAATTGACATCATTTGGTGCCTAGATACCAATTAGCTTTATGGATAAATGAATTTTGGAACGAAATTCAAGGCCTGATATATTCTTTCAGGTCGGTTCGTACATAAATTAACGGTCTCGTCCAAAATGACTAGTATAGTAACCCTAGAAATAAGCATTATACAAGCATGAGCTGAAGACAAAATAAGGGCTAGCAGAAAAATAATCGAACGGAAAAAACACTGAGATGAAGAACCGCAACCATAGCTCCCCACACTATATTCGCTATATGAATACGACTTAAACGCACTACACGTAGTAACAGAATAAAAGGAAATGATTTGTATAAATTTTAAAAATAACACAACAGTTGAACAGTATATTAAACACGTGAAGCATTAACAAGCGAACGAAAAACAGACGATAGCTAAAGTATTTCACCTAATGATAAATGCAGCAACAAGTTTTGAGGTACGCGCGCGCTTTTCGAACAGGAAGTTTAGTACTAACGTGATTTGCATTTTTCAAACTTTCGCTGTGTTCTTACGCAACAAAAATACTATTTCAGTTCTGAAGAATCTATTCTGAGCTATACGTTCGGTAGGTCACTTTTTTGAGTTTCACCATATTTAATAAATAACTGTGGTTTTGCCTCAGCTTACTGTTCGTTTTTTTTGTTTTTCACGTAAAGACTAATTCAGTTTATCTCACTCGTTTTTATCCATTTTTTTCCGTTTTCAGTGTGCTTTTTAGTGTTTTTTTACGGTCTTGGGGTTTTTCGAGCGTCTATTACATAGTTTGCTTCAACTTAGTCATGAGAAACTCATACAAACGTCCGGGATGCCGTTTCGCTGTTACAACTGGCATGCAATGCGAAAACTACAAAGGTTGGTTACACGAAGCGTGCACAGATCTGACGGCAAATGCTTACAACAGACTCAGCAAGTCGGACCAAATGTGGGTATGTGTCACATGCAGCACGGACACTGCAGTCTTTGCTGAGTAACATCATCGTCCTACTGACAGGTCTGCGGAACAATTTGTCAGCAAACTTGGATAACGACACTAAAAAACGGGTAAACAAACAAGAGCGCGCAACGAGCGCAAGATTAGGGATGTCGACAGGTATACCATCGATGGAGCATCCTTCAGCACTAATGATAACGTGTTGAAGCTCAGCACCATCATTACGTCGACGGTATTAGACTCTCTAAGTAGACTCGGGTCTCCCAGCTCAGGGTCCCCGAACACAACAGTGGTTCCCCAAAACCCTGTAGGTGATCTGACCCACGCTAGCAGAGCCCAGAAGAACCAGGTGTCACTGCCTAAGCTGAGCATCCCAAGTATTGTTGTACGGAAAACAACTGGTGATTTGGTCCACAGTCAACCCCCAAGAATGTTCTTCCGGTCATTAAGGAGCCAAAGATTCAAAAACATGCCTTGGCCTCCAAACAACAAGGTATTAAACCTGAACCCATTGGGAAACCTGATAAATCAACAACAGTTCGCGGCGATTCTCTCATAATCATGAATCTCATTGAAAATCCTGACCTTCCTCTCAGTCTGCAGGACAAAAATGACAGGATGCTGTGGGGCGAACTGAACAAGAGGCTCGAACTTCCCAGAATAGAGCCTTCGACGGTCACCCAGCTCACTCGAGGAAAGAATTCTAAGCATCTAAATCACCCGAGGCTTCTTCGAGTAACACTTATGAATGCTACCGAGGTAGGGGACGTCTTGCTAGCAAGTCACTTGCTGAAATCCGATGTTAACGTAAGAATATTGCCCGACATACCGTACTCTGAGCGCAATATCATACGGAACACCCCTAAAGAATCTCGCGAAAAGTTTTTCCCCTAAAGAAACATAATTGTGCAAGGTATACCGGAAAATACGGACCCTACTCAATCAAGTTCTGACATCAGGGAATGTAAATTCATTAAACAGTCCTTGAGGTTCGAACACATAATGACTCAGCATATGACGAGCTAGCCAAGAAGGATGGTGACCCTAGACCCAGTCTAATGAAGACAATCTTCCCATCCCCCCACATGGCGGCTGCAACTCTGAAAGCATTTCGTGCAAACAGATATCGTCTGCCACCTGGAATCCACATGCACCCGGATAGGGCATACGAAGCTAGGACCAAGCACAAAGGCAAGATGGAGCTGACCATTTCACTTGTGGACTGTCTAGACCATAAAAAATACGTGTAAATGACATGGCCTACCACCTTGGCAAACCTCATATAGGTAGGCTACCTGTCCATTCACGTTAGGCTCATACAGACAAACAGGACGAAGCTCACGCGTTCCAAATTGAAAACATAAATTGCTTATATATGAACGCCGCGAGTCTACCAAACAAATTGGATGAATTACGTGAACTTAGCAACGCTGATAAGGCCCATCTGATAGGAATATCTGAAACCCGGATATCTTCTCAGTTCTTGGACCAAGAGTTAGCATTGCCTGGGATGTCTTTGTTCCGCAACGACAGAAAATCAGGAATTAGGGCGGAGTAGCACTATACATACGTTCTTGCACATCTTCTTGGAGGTGCACCAAATTCACAACCTTGAATTTAACAATCTTGAGGAATCCATATGGTGCTCTGTAAGATTGTCAAGTACTTCGAGATGTCTAGTCGGAGTCATTTACAGGAAGCCAACTGCCGACATCGAGTACGATAGTCGTATGCTGGAAGGACTATCCCGCTCTACTCGTCTCGGTTTCACACACATCCTGATTCTAGGGGACTTTAATCTCCCTAGAGTCAACTTCGCGGATCACACGTATATTGGAGGTGATAATTCAATTGAAGCCCAGTTCTTCAACCTCGTCGATGACGTGGGATTATATGAAAACTTGAGGTCGGCAACTCGTTGGAGAAACAGTCAGACACCATCGCGCTTAGACTGTGTATTCACTAACGGAAAATTCCTAGTTGACAACCTCTCAATCCTTGTTCCCCTGGGAAAAGCGATCATGCCGTCATAGCCTTCAATTTTGTCAGCAAAACTAAGCTAAGCTATCCCACCAATAACTTGCGTTGGAATTTTAAACAGTTGAATGTGCCAGCTCTACACGACTATCTACAACGGGTGGTTTGGGATGTTCACCCCCAACTCGATGTGGACGGGCATTAGGACTTCTTACTGCACACGCTACAAATCATTCAGTTCCTCAAACGGTTCCCAAAAGCTGCGAGCCACATACAATAATCAAGAAATGTACCCTTCGCCTGCTAAGCCGAAAAAGGCACTGTTGGGCAGAATACAAACGAACTGACAACGACGGAGCGTACAGACAATATAAACATATAAGGAACATATGCACGAAGGCTATAAGAGAAGACATGCTTCAGTAACAAAAAAGCTTATGGACAAAATTGCCTTTA